TTGTATGTATTTCCATTAAAATCAGTGGAGCATGTGGTTTTATTTGATGCAAAGCATAGAATCTTACCACTTGATGACATAACGTGAATGAGTAATTTATATTTGATGCATCAACGTTAAAACTCTTGAGGGAGAGCTTTACCGCCCTTGTGGTCCTACCCGGCTCGATTCTGGATTAGTCGGTTTCCCTGTGGATTCGAAAACCGGAAGGTCCCTGTACCAAAAAAAAAATTATATATTTATTAATAAAAAAATAATAAGTGGACAAAAAACCAAAAAAAAGGAGAGTGGACCAAAATAAAAAACACGTATTCACTAAATATATTTTCTTTACAATTTAATTGTAAAACGTAATTAAGGAATACGTTTTACAAAATTTTTTACAAAAGAAAACGTTTTTACAAAATACATTTTACAAATAAAAACATTGAAAAACGTATTTTGTAAATACGTGCTTTTGATTCTTGTCCACCTCCTTTTTCTGTTTTGTTTTTTGTCCAGCACTTGTTTTTTTATTTTTTTCACGTAAAAAATTCTAACGTGAATCCTCCTGGAAACGATGAGCGCCATAAGCTGTTACGGTAAGCTCTACAACGAGCGCAACCCTCTTGTTTTAGTTGCCATTTGATTCGGAGGCTGCATTCATTTATGAAAAAAAAAAGTTTGATAATTGATTTTTCTAAAAAGTTTTTAGGTGGCAAATGTGTAGAGAATTGATATCAACTACATATGAACTAAATGTGCAGTTTTAAAACTGATGGTGTTGATCCATTGGCCGCTGATATCAACTACATATCAACTACATATGAACTAAATGTTACACTACTGTTAGCAGACTTATGAGCAACTCCACCCCTACTCTATCTCTCCAAATTTACTCTATTTTAACGCAGAAAATGAGTCCAGCGTTGCGCCAGAATTCTGCGCTAGATTTGAAGTTGTGAACAATGTTGCGCCACGCAACACTGTAGCACACCACTACATTTTTTTTTTTATATAATGTGTATTAGTAAATGTATTTTTTATGCTAAATAACTTTGTGCAACGTATTTTATATGCTAAATAATTTTATAATTTTTTTTATTGATGTATTATAATTTTATTTTATATTTTTATAATATTAAAACGGTACCAAATAAATAAATATTTAACACAAACAGGTATCCATATATATATATACCAATTCATTTGAAAATATAAATAAAATATATTTTTATTATTTGGGTAATAAATAATTATAAAAGATAAATATTTATATATATACCAAAATTTTTGAAATTAAAAATGAATAAAAAAATAGTATATTTGATGTACAGTAAAATGTAGAGATAAGAACTGGAGATGATTGTTTCATTCTATTTAGAGTAGAATAAATTATGTGCTAGAGTAAAATTAAGTGTTAATGGTCTAACAACGGGAGGAGGTCGTTCTGGACGCTCAAAAGATTAGGCAGACTATGACGGTTGCAAAGGTATTTATGCTTAAGTTGTCTAGGCTATATTCTAGCCTTTTATTTAATTTATTTTATAAATTATATATAATGATAAATATATATATATATATATAATGATAAATATAAATAATTTATTAATCCGTGTACAATCACGAGCGACTATCATCATTGAAAAAATAATATGATTTTTTTTTTTTTTTGCAAATAAATAATATGAATTTAAATCCCTTATATATAATTTTCGAATGTGCTGAGCTTACGTGGCTGTTTCTGGTGCTTCAGAATCTTACTTGGTGAAAAATCACGCTTCGTAATTAGGTTTGGACAAATAATATTGATATATTAATAATTAATAATCTAGGTTCGGACATTTCATAAATATTATTTAGTTAACTTATGTATTTTAATATCATTTGTACTAATATAACCCTTTAATTTTTAATTCTTAGTAATACACTAATATATCTTGACTTTTGATTTGATTCATTCAATTAACTATTGAATTGTAAATGTATTTTAAAAGTTGATAATCTTTGTATTTCTTATCGGTTTTACATATATAATATATCAAATTAATCATCTTGTAATGATCTATTGTATATATGAAATAAATAATTTATTTATATTTATATTAATAAAAATAGTAATATTTATTAAAATTCATGAGAAAAAATAAATTATTTCTCAATTGATATATTTATGTTTAATAGTAGTTATATGTTGTAAGTTAAAAAAATTATTATTATAATATAATACAGGTAAGTCACACAAATAAAAAATGTCATATTAAATATATAATAATAAATATATTTCTATAAAAGTTATTAAAATTTTCAACTACTTTTTTATTAATTTTAAATTTAAAAAAAAAATTTAACAAGCATTCATATAATACACGGACGTTGTACTAGTATTATAGTATTACATAACGTAAATAAATAAATATTTTCATACAATCCGTTGGGGTGACTTGGTGGATTAATGACGTTTGCGTACAACTCTGACAAACTAGTAAAAAAAACTCCGCACAAATGAGTGACCTAAAACTACTACTCAAATCAATCAAATCCTTATTGGGAAGAGATCAAACAGTATGGCGCTGCAAATCTGCAGACCCAACGGCCGAAAAATGAACTCGGGAAAGCTCCCTATTTATACCTGCCCATATCGGCAGCAGCAGCAGCATCTCAATTCACGGCGGAGGAAAAACAATGGCGCAGATTGTATCCAAAAGACCGCGCACCTCCGTCAGCACCCCGATTGGGTCCTCCCACGCCGCTGGAAACCGTATTCACACATCCGCCGCTCCTCGCCGGAGGATCTTCCGGTATGAGTCGTCGGATGACGACGAACAAGCCGCTGAAACGCGAGCCGATTCGAGTCGTACTCAGCCGGCCGAAAGTGGTCGGGACGCGCCGACGCTGACCCTGACCGACCCGGACGTCTTGGATTGCCCCATCTGCCTCGAACCCCTCTACCCTCCTGTCTACCAGGTTCCTCATTTATTTCTCCCTTTTTTCTTATTGTCCTTCATATTTGGGTAAATTTGCTGTTTGATGATCTATGGTGTTCAATTATCTATGTGTGAATTTGTAGTGCGAGAATGGGCACGTGACGTGTGAAGTTTGTTGTGATAAAATGAAGAGAAAGTGCCCTACCTGCGGCTGGCCGATTGGGCACAACCGTTGCCGGGCAGTCGAGAAGATTCTCGATTCTATTAAATTCTCCTGCCCGAACGCCTGGCTTGGCTGCCCGGAGACCATAACTCTCAGCAAGAGGGTGGAGCACACTAAGACATGTGGTTTCTTGGCCTGCTTGTGCCCTATGCCCGACTGCACGTACATGGGCTCTTCCAACTCTGTGTACTCCCACTTTTCGAAAAGACACCCAAACACATCTAAGCCCTTTGTCTTTAACAATGGTATCTCCATATCTTTAACCAAGGGACAAAAACACGTCTTTCTTCAAGAGTCCATTGCAAAGACGCTCTTTGTGATCAATCGGTGGGCCCTACGAGGAGGTAATTTGGTTAGTGTTGTTTGCCTTGCGCCAGCCTCGTGTGATGGGAAATTCATGTACAAAGTTGTTGCTGGGGATGGCAGCAACTTTGTGAAGATGAAGGGGTTTGTGGAGACAAGTGCGTGTTGGATGAGTGGGCAGACACCGGGTAAGAAGTACTTTCTTGTGCCTAATGCTCTGCTCGGTTTAGGTGGGCAGCTTGTGGTGGAGGTGATGATAAGGAGGGCCGTTTGAGATTGGCTGGAACTTGTAATTAGTTTTGGATGGAGTGTGACTTTGTTTTTCTGTGGCGAAAGTTAGGGTTCCAAGTCATCTGAGGTTGATCTTGATTGATTCTTTTGTACTTTGTTTGTCTTTTGGCCTTGGTTTTGGTCCTTGATTGTTATATTGTAACTATGCCTGTCGTGGTTGTGATTGTAATTGTGTTTTGTAGGGAAGTTCTTTTGGATCCGAATCCATGCAACAATGTTAAGAGGAATGGCTTCGTAAATGTGTGTGTGTTTTTTTGTGTATCTTGGTGTTGAAAGATGGGTTGTTGTTTGTTGTAGTAATTATAGGGTTCAACGATTTTTGCCATACACATCTTTTGTTTGCAAGTAACAACACCAGTCTTGCCATACAAACTATATTTCTTCGGTTTTTCCTCACACATTGCGTCCTTAATGTTTTGGTTATAGCTGGATTTTTAGTTAACTGCAAGTGGAATGAGATTTCACCTTGTAGTTTTCAGTGTACATACTTCGACAATTTATGTATTTATTCATTCGCTATTGCATTGAAGAAGAGGACCAAATCAATACAATAAATACAAAAAAATCTGTCTGTATTTTTTTTTTGTTTGGTACAGAGAAGGAGGCCTAAGCTTAAGACCATCAAACAGTTACGTTCCGTGGGTAAGCCACTCCAACAAGGTCGTGCTGTAACCCTGGTCGAACTATTGATGGTGGGTCAAGTAACTGTTGACAACCACTAGGGCACTGATGAGCCAGTGTCGTCAAGCAATTCGTTGCAAAGTTACCCTCTCTATAGCAATGAGTCACAGTCACTTCTCAATCCCGACGAAACAAGTCACGTATGGCGCGGACAATACTGCCATGCACTCCAAGGTTTTCTGGTAGCCCTCCTGCAGCCATCGGCACCACACTCTTATTATCAACCTCCACGGTAGCCTTGCAATGCCCCAAGCCCAGGCAAGCAACAAACTTTGGAAGAGTCTCCACAGCTCTGCGCCCGTGATAGAGCAGTATCCAATATTCATTACAAACCCCCCAAGCCAATGACCTTCGGTATCGCGAATCAAGCCCCCAGCGGATGCCATCCCAGACGAAGCCAAAAAGGACCTATCCGTATTAATTTGACCATTCCCCTTCTAGGAGCTTCCCAACTAATAAACTGTACCTCGCGGCCCATGCCGAAGCCGCCCAATTGTTGCTCAGCCGAGGTGGATAATTGAATGCCGTGAACAAATGAACGAACATCCCGAACTCGCTTAACGGTGTTAAATTCCTCGTTCGAAAAAATCTTTTCATTTCTGCCTCTCCAAATTTGCCACACTGTGACACCGAATGTAGTCTCTTAATAAGCAACGCCAATGTTCAACCCATTTTGTAGGTTCCGGAGCAACCAGTCGCTCAGCGATATGGTAAAGAACTCGGGATGTCGGTGGGCCGGGAATAAGCTCCGCAATACCTTGTTTGCCCCGACGCAGTCCTGAAGGCAATGGAGGGTTGATTCTTCAGCATGCTTACATAATGAGCATATCGACAAGGCCGTGAGATGCCTCCGCCGCCTCTCAACATTCGTAAGAAGCTTTTCTTGCACCACAAGCCACAAAAACTGGCGTATCCTTTGTGGGCCAACCCATCTCCAGATCACGCGCCAAGAGCACCGATTGCTAGCGCTCACCGGCCTAGCAAGAAACAACGACGAGTAGGCCGATTTTGTTGTAAAGCATCCATTCTCCGAGAGCCCCCAGTAGGTAAATCGGGCCCGACTTCCCGTGCAGGCGGCATGAGCACGGCGATGCGTAGGGATCACCGGCCGGTACCAAGTGACCAAAAAGATCCCACCGCCACCGGCCCGATTCATCCACGTAATTACGAACAGGCCAATCCAACTGGTGCTCGGGGATGGGACCCAACGCCTCTTTAAATCAAGTATATATTCTTTGCTTCATCTGATCCAGCTATATATCAGCTATTAACCAAATCAATACAATAAATACAAGAAACACTAAGACTGGTATCTCAAGTATATTTAGGGAGATTGTACGTTTCAATCTTGTTAGAATCAGTTAGGTTTAACTCAACACTTTCAGTCACTTGAATCATTTTATCCTTTCCCAGGAGGAAATTGAGATAGAATGCAAGGCACTGCATGTTGAAAAGGTTCTTGCTGTTGTGAGCGTTGACCTTAGAAGTAAGAAGTAAGGCTCTAGCACCATTTGGTTGACAGTCGGGTGTCGTCATTTTGTCGACGGTCGGGCGTCAATTACAGTTAAATAAGAATTATGGGGGCAATTTAATCGCTTTTTTATAATGATAAAAGAGTAGCGACCTGAAATATAAAATTGTACAAGAGATTGGACGATCTAGCAAGGGATTGGCGAAGTGGATTTTTTATACATGTTGCGTTGAGTCGTATATGAGAGTTATTCTCGATTTTGTTAGTCTTTTCAGGGACCTTGAAGGCTGAATTTATACATGGAAAATGTGAAAGCCACTTATGGCTTAGGAGACAATTAAGGGCGTAGGAGAGTAACACGGGTCACCATGCGAAATCTCGCATTTTGATGATGGGACTAATAGGACGATTGCTTTATCAGTATGTTTTGTTGGTTCTTGTTCATATTGCAGGGAATAGTCATTCTTTGCAAAGAAGGAACATGTAAGAATCGGCATTTTGACCCGAGCACAAAGAAACTAGGGATCGTCACTTTGGTGCAAATGTTGGATCGACAAGGCCTCGATGGCGGGGTGTCTTTGGGAATGTACCCGCCCGTCCGTAGTAAATCTTGAAGACCTCTACTTGTATGGTTGTACCATGTTTATGAGCCTCCCTCCATTGCTTGTAACTAATTAACTATGTTGTATCACTATAATGTTAACCCTGAGAGTTGGGGTACTTGAAATGTGGTGGGAACCAAAATAAATAAAATCCCATTGAGGCTTCTATTATAAAACAGATCCAGATACTTTATGGGCTCATTTACTAGCGTGGATTGGATTGGATAAGGTTGGTTAACCAACCTTATCATATGTTTACCAGGCTTTATAGGGATTTGGATTCGGCTGATGTGTACACACAGTGGCACGTGGGTCCCGCTGCTTAAAATCTATGTGGCGGTATTGTTTTGTCCGCCCGATTTG